TGGTTTTTTGCCTGAGACGTCTTCTGCTCAGTCCATGCAGATTCACGAGCAGCCAAACTTGGTGAAAGTTGAACCTGATCCTCAGCTGGAAGAGGTTTGTCTAGAAAGGGATATTGGTGGGCTTGCAAAGAAGAGGGGAGCTGGTAAATCACAACTGCTGAAGTCCCCTAAAAGTAAGAAGGCAAAGAAAGCTACTAGGATCCCTAAAGTCGAGTCTACCCCATCTGTTCCACGGGCAAGAGCTCCCAGAAAAAGTGCAGAAGTTGTCATTAATGGTATTACTATGGATATTTCGGTAATTCCCATACCAGTTTGCTCATGCACTGGGGTTGCTCAANGGGCAGCTCAGCAGTGTTATAGGTGGGGCTGTGGTGGTTGGCAATCGGCTTGCTGTACCACTAATTTATCTTCATATCCCTTGCCTATGAATACCAAAAGGCGTGGTTCAAGGATAGCAGGACGGAAGATGAGTTTGGGAGCGTTTACAAAGGTACTAGAGAAACTTGCTTCGGAAGGATATAACTTTTCTAACGCAATTGATCTGAAGCCTTACTGGGCAAAGCATGGTACAAACAAGTTTGTCACTATCAGATAGATTTATGGTGGTTATGCTAGCAGTTTTCCCTAAAATGGGGCATGGTGCGTTTCTGGTGTACATAGTTGACTATGGTTGGGACTGAGGCATGTCAGGTAGTTTCTAACCAGTGAAATTCAGGTGTTGCAACCGTTCAGATTTTGTCCTGTGGCCTCTTGGCTAAGGTTTTACTTTCAGTTTACCTTTGTAGTTCACGGAGATATCAGGCTAGCCCTAGTGGCAGGTTATGGAAGTTGCAGAGGGAGGTACATTTGTTATGCAATTGGTGGTTTCTTAATTTATTCAATACTAATGATCTTTGATTAGGAAGTTTTGCATTCTTTTATTTGTTATTATTCAGATATTGACTTTCTAACTGTTGCTTCATGTTAGATCTTTTTTGTCTTCCTATGAGGGATACCTTATATTTGATCAACTAAATGGCTATGTCCTGCACTATACTTACTGTTATTAAAACATGGGTTCTGACCTGTCATTTTTAGGATTGTTGTCTTAATTGGGTGATTTTCTTTCCAAATGGGAAATTCCATTCGATATCATGTATCAATGGACTGAATATCAATGGCGTAGCTACATACATTGAAGGGTGGTCAAGCGAACACCCTTCATCGAAATATGATAATGTGTATATTACAACTTATATTGTGTATATAGGTTAAAATTATTTGTTATGTGTATATTAAATTTTGAACACTCTTCGCGAAATTTCTGGCTTCTGACACTGCTGAAATTTACAGCTACAGAGATACTGAATGTTCGCTTTTTTTTTTTTGGCACCTCCGAATGCATGTGTCAAATTCATCTGGTGGAGTAACTTGTATTGTTATCACCACTGCCTTAGGTGTTGACTGATGTTAATTGCTAAATTCAACTGATTGATGAATTCTTGTTTTGAAATTCTGGCATTACTTGAATTCTCTTGAGCTATACAATGAAGATTAGCATAGGCCTTGTGTAAGGATGTCACATACAAATTGAGAAGAGGTAAGTGTTTAAATTTTTGATCAATACCCATTTAGTTGGTGTTAAGTTTTAGTCATATTAGCAGTTGTATATCTCATATCGCTAGGAGTCTTCTAGTCTCGTTATTAGAGATTTATATGCCAGTAGAAATGTAGAGGACTTCTAGTGCTGGAGAAACTAAGGTATATATTATTGGACTGAGACAAGTTTATGTGGAGTAACATCTACCGTGAGTAGAGGTGGCAAAATGGTTAAAAGAAAACAATTATTCACCCATATTATCCTTTAAGCAATGGGTTGGATAATGAACTTTTTAAAAACGGGTCAAATATAGATAAGAACCATATTACCTATTTAGAAAATGGATAACCAATGGATAACTAATTAGTTTAACTTTTACATTTGTAAAGCTTCGAATTGGGGTTCCTCATTTGGGTAGGGGTGTCAATGGTTCGGTTCGGCCAGTTATTTTATAAAATTTGTACTATACTAATTTTTCGGTTATTCCATTTTGTATAACCAAAATTAGACTTTTCGGAACCGTCCCAATCATCTCGGTTTCTCTTCGGTATCGGTACAGATTGGTTATTTTTTGGTATTCTTTTAAAAAAACGTCATACAAGAGTCGCTATCCGAAGTTAGAATGCGATAAATATGTACTTAGGACTTTCGCAAAATTTTCTAGATATTTTTACTATTATCAAAGTGATGATAAGGAACATGAAAGATGTCCAGTATAGAGATTCATCGCACTATTCTATGGTAGTATCCAACAAGTGAAATCTAAATCATATGAGAGGAAAAATATCCAATACCTAGTGTCTTCGTACTGAAAATCGTTGGAATACCTAGTGGCTTGCTACTCAAGATATTAGAATTAATTTAGTTTCGATATGAGTAGTAGAATATGTTCGAAAGTTGGGATTTTTGATATTAATTATTTGGTCACTTGTAGCCATTTCCATTATCCCAAGACCCAAAAAAAAATTAATGTTGTGGTAGTTTTAAACTTAGTATATAAAATATATTTTTCATATATAATTTTATTCGGTACAGATCGGTATTTTTTCGGTTTATTTTTATAAAATTAAAAACCTACCCTAATATTTGGTACGGTTATAAGTTTATATAAAATTCTACGGTTTTATTAATTAAATCTAATAATCGGTTCGGTACGGTTCGGTTCGATCGGTTTAGTCGGTTTTTGAAGATCCATTGATACCCCTAAGTTTGGGAGACTAAGAATTCTCCCAAAAGTGATCATATTCAAGAAGTCATGTATAATATGGATATCCATATTATTCGCTGGGTAATCTATTTTTTATCTGTATTAAATATGGATCGGGTCGGGTCGGATAATTTATCTGTTTTTTAAATTACCCGTTTTTGACCTGCCCCGCCCGTTTGCCACCTCTAACCGTAAGGATCCTCGCTTAACCGACCCTAACTTGCTTGGGATTGAGGTGCACAGAGCTATCTTATAAGATGAGAAATGCTCAAACACCAAATAAGGAGACAAGAGTATTGTTTCAATTAATGTGTGTATTAGATACCAGTCTATAATATTTTATTTAATTAAATAAGGATCCGATTAAAGTCATATTAGCACTGAAATTTTTTTATATTAGGAGTAAAGTACTTAAGAATGAATCTGTCTTAATGGTATAAAGTTTAGCACTTTGAGTCACCTACAAAGACTTTCCATATCTGTTTTCTTATTTTCATAACCATCTGTATTGCCGGTATAAAAGACTTGCCGTAACCTTCTTTTACAAAGACTTTCCATATCTGTTTTCTTATTTTCATAACCATCTGTATTGCCGGTATAAAAGACTTGCCGTAACCTTCTTTTACAAAGACTTTCCATATCTGTTTTCTTATTTTCATAACCATCTGTATTGCCGGTATAAAAGACTTGCCGTAACCTTCTTTTAAAGCCTTTCATCACATACATGACCTATTATTTCCAGCAGTTACCGGATTTTACGATATATTATAAAACTAAGTGCTTTTTATATGCATATCCAGATGGTAAATGAAATATCGCTAGTTTTTAACTCTCTTTGCAGTCATAATGCTCAATAAATGTTTCTTCCTTGAACATTGATTTGTTCTAACGTTGTTATTGCCAAAACTGAAAAACGAGATCTCATAATCAGCTCTTCAGCTGAATTGTTACTGAATAGTCCACCATAACCTTGGCTTTTTTAATTAGAGAATTCCTCTTATCTCTCGTAAGACTTGTTAGAGTCCACCGATTTGTCTCGTCATGTAGATAAATTTAATTTCATGAATCATAAAAACGTGCAGGGGCAGCTAGATTTAACGTGAGTTCTGTTGGTTCAACTTATTGCATTGCTTTCGGCTCAAACTAGGCATATATATATATATATATATA